CCACATCCATACACAGGCAACCACATCTAGCCATGCCCCTGCCCCCATTGCTTATATGGGTTTGCAGACAAAAGTGGCCCAGAACAAAACTGTTACATAACAGGCTTGTGGGCAACTGGCCAAGCAGGTGGACCTGTCGGTTACCAGGACACTGGCTATGATACACAGAAATATGGGAGCAGAGAGATAAGAGAGCATGGGCACAAGGTGTGGGAACTTGATATCGTCACTTTCTCAAGTTCATCTCCTAAACAGAAACTTTCCCAGGAAACCATCCCCCCAAGTCTGGGTTAAGTGTGACCCTTGGTGCCATCTGGGCACATTCTGCCTACCTCCTGATTGCTGTCTTGCATTATAATTGCCATTTGTCTTCCCAATTGTAAGCTGCTTGAGGGTGAGTACCTAGCATGTTACATGACATTACATGACACCTAGCTGTCCAATAACTAATAATGTAGGCATTATATGTTGTAGTGATTTTTATGGCCTCTTTCCAGAACTTACTATTGAATTGGATAATAGAAAACAAATCAACCAATTTTATAAGTGATATAAAGTGGGGAAGATTATACATTCAAAATTCATAGATGTAAATATTCAAAAAGACTTCAACAGGCTATAAGGACAAATTGAAACCAGTAGATAATTTTAGAAATTTACAGTTCTGTATATGGGTTTTATTCTGCAGTGGATCCCTGTGTGTAGCCCTTTCTAACCTAGAAAACTTTCCACAAAAAAGAAGAGAAAGAAAAGGTTTATTTTTAAATTGAATAATAAACCAAAATATGATGCCCATCATAGGCAATCCACTAGACTGCCAAGATGGAAATCTCACTTTTATACAGCTAAGCAGAGGTAAGCTGTTATATTCCTATCTCAAATGATGAGCTCTCAGAGGACTTGACAGCACCATTTTTCACTTATTCTAAATTCACCTGCTAATTGTGGTAATCATGCTTGTTAATTGCTTTCTTCAACAGAAAAGTAATTTTGTCCTATCTTTATGACAGCAGGTAGGTACGTAATTTGCATCTGGATGCCCACTGAAGTTAGGCGTCTATCCTTCTTGCAAACTGGGTCCTCAGTAATTAAAGTTCAGAGAAGGCTCCCAGGTTCTTGAGGAAACATTCCTGGTTATCAAATTGGCAAAAGACTAATTTAGCTTTTAGAAAGACTTGGATACATCTCAAAGAGGCCCAGGAACAGCTTACAATCAAAATCTTCTAAAGTAGATGAGCCAAGAAAAGGAAGTGAGGGGGTAAGTTTTTTCTTTGCAGCAGAGAGTTTTCTTCTGATTTGTGTTGTCCTGCCCACCAACTACCAGCTCCACCTTAGTATTTTCGTGACTTGCAGTTGCCCAGATCCCAACCCAGGCCTACTCAATCAGACCCTCTGGGGACAGGCCCCAGCAATTTGAGTTTTTTCAGTAAGTTCCCCAGGTCATGCTAATGGTGACTGGAGCTTGAAAGTCATTGGACAGGATCGCTGACAACAGGCCATGTGAAAAGGACATGGGAAAGGCAAGTATTTGCCTTTAGGAGAAACAGTGGTTATTCGCAATTTGTGTATGTAGTCATCTGCTGTTACCTTCAATTAATTGGCAAGAAATTAAGACATCTAAAGTAAAAGATATTAGATAAGCCTGGTTTAGTCAAGATAGTCAAAATTAACACCTTGCAGGAGAGGAACAAAAGCAAAATAATTAAATTGTCCTCATTGTAGTTCTAAAGTTCATCCTCTAATGTGCATAATCCCTAATTATCTGGCAAATCACTAATTTACCATATCAAGTTAAGCTACAAAAGCTAATCAAGCTAAATGGTGGGTTTTTGGCTGCCAGAGATCCTCAGAGCAGCAGGGGAGCCCTGCTTCCTCATCTCAGTAGGGGCCAAAGCTGGCCAGGACCTCCTTGAGAGCTTTAGACACCCAGCTGACGTTCTAGGAACAGAATTTGTGATGGCTACAATCCTCTCAGAAGTACATCTGAATTTTCTTAGGAAATCGGTGATTTTCACCTGCCAGTCCACATAACTCTGAGTCTATAAGCAAGCTTTGTCACTTCTCAATTTTTTCTTTAGGTGAAGATCTATGCAAGTCTCAAAAAAAGACAGCCATGGAAAATTAAGAATGAGATTACTTACACTATGTTTTTCTGCTCTTTTGATGAATGTTCACATGTATTTTTGATTAGAAAGTCTGTTTTCTATCAAATATGTGCTCTCGTGAAGCCTACTGAATTTATTTTTGGTGCTAGTTTATCCTACAGATTTTACTTGGGGAAAAACCCTCCTTTGAAATTATCAGTGAACTGGGCCGAGACTCAATGTATTTTGTTAGAACATATTGCTGCAAGTGTGGCACATGACGTCATATTGGGAGGGCCAGTCTGTAATGCAAACTGCCAATAAAATAATTGCTTTAGCCTGTTTTTAACCACATCTTCCAAAACATAACTGCCATTCTTTTTCTATGGTGCTTAAGTACATACAACTGTCTCTGAAGGAGGCAGTGACCAGTCTACCTTATATGACCAAGAAGGCAGTTCAGTGAGTCTGTACTAACAGAGTGATAAGCCCAAGGATATTTTAGGAGAGTTACAGATTTTCCTCCCTAGCTCTTTTTTGTTGTTGTTGTTATTAATTTGAGAGGCAGAGAAAAGAGTCTCCCGACTGACTCTCCAAATGCCTACAATAATGGAGGCCAAAGCTGTGTGCCAAAATTCAATCCAGATCTCCCCCATGGAGGGTAGGATCCCAGTCACTTCAGCCTTCACACTGCCTCCCAGGACTTGCACAAGTAGGAAGCTGGAGTCAAGGAGCATGAGGCATCAAATATAGGCATGCTGAGAAAAGACACAGGTGTCACTAGGCTGAACCCCTACCCCTCTAGAAGTCCTCAGGAAACTCCTGGCATAAGAGGACAGCACAGATGCTCCTTTTTCTTAACCTGTTAGGTCCCACAAATGAGAAATACAGGATTCTGAACCAATCTTTAATGGCCAAATAATGTCTTTTAGTTACAGAATACAAAACTGCAGCCCAAAGATGTAAAATAATGATTTTAACTACACAGTTGATATTACTCCCTTTACATAAGAGAATAAAGTCAATTAAGTAGAGCTCAAAACCAGCACCATCCCATTATTACTTTTGCCATGAGTTACACAGCTTTAAATATAGCACCTCCCAGCAAACATCACAACTGCTCAGTTCTGTAGGCTACGCATATTTTTTTAACAAAGTGTGAGCTGAAAGAAAAGCTGTAGAACAAGGATCAAGTATGCATACTTTACGTTCAAAAGCATATTACTAGACACCAAAAAATGCATTCGGCATTTTCTGTCTGAATATAATGGTGTTCCTCAGACCTACATCTTTGCCAGCTTCGCCTTTTTCATAGCACCAAGTACGGCACGAGGCACATGGGAATGTAGGAGACACTGACACTTTAAAACACTTTTTCCAGGCAGTGGCCAGCCAGTGCAGGGATCTCTCTGACCAGAAGGCACAATCTTCAGACTGCTGCGATTGCGGAACGGAAATGAAATGTGTAAGACCAGGAAGTTCCAGGAGGACAGGGGGCAAATGTCACAGTTCTGCCGCCAGGCACAGTCACGCTAGGGCTGTCTCCGTCGGAGGGGATGAGATGCAGTCAGCCCCCGCCCCGGCCCCCAGGGGCGGTCAGCAGCAGCCTGCTGGGCCGGCGAGGGCAGCGGCGTGATGCTGGAGATCCATACAATGTCTTCCTGGTCCCGGGGCGGTAGCTGGGATGCTGCCTGAGCGAAGGCAATGGAGAACCGCGACAACAGGCAGCGGCCGCGGCCAAGCTCCTAATCCAGGCCTGGGGGCCGGCAGCCTGGAACTGGAATGCTACGTGCGAAACAAAGCCCGACAGCCCTGCGTACGAAGAGGGCGCAGGCAGGCCCGGATCTCGGCCAGGCTGTGGTCTACCGATTCCTGCCGAAGGCCCGCCGCAGCGCGGCCACGAAGTCCTCGTACTGCCCCAGGAGGGGGCTCTCCCCCTCGATGTAGGGGACCACCCACTGCTCGGCCGGCCCCGAGAGGCGGCTGATTAAAAACGCCACCTTCAGGGTGTCGTTCGAGAACCTGGCCTCGAAGAAGTTCATGTAAGAGGCCGCCTCGATCAGAAAGTCGTGGAGCCGGGCGGAGTCGCCGTTAAACGCTTCGGGGAAGGCCACGGGGCAGGTGGGCGGACGCACCTGGGCCAGCAGGTTGGCCTTCTCGCACAGCAGCCGCCGCACCTGGTCCATAAGCTCGTTGTTCTCCCGACGCAGGGCATGATTCTGGCTCAGCAGGTCCTGCATCATCACTGCCAGCTCGTCCATTCCCACCGCCACCCTCCCGGTCGTCGCGCCCCGCCCGCCGCCGCGTCGCCGGAAGTGCGTGTCAGCTTCCGCCGGCGGCGCGCCACAGGTCCGCGGGACCGGCCTTCCTGAGGCCCGAGCGCCAGCGGTTAGGGTCGCCGGGACCTGTGGGCGGGTAGGGGGAGCGAGAGCCGAGGTGAGGTGAGCAAGCGGAGAAAACCTGAGCAGGCGGGGCGAAGGCCGAGGAGCGAGTTGCCGGGCTTGGCGGAAGAATCTGACGTCGTGTCGTGCGCGCATCACTTCCGGAAGGCTCCCTCCGCGGGGGCGGGCGCACAGGGCCTTAAAGGGAAAGCGGGCGAGTTGGTAGCTGAAACGCTGGCTTCTGCGGGTTTCGGGAATGCTTTCTAGTCGCAGTGTTTGTTGCGTCTGTTCCGCAGTCCTGCTTCTTTCACCCGCTTTCCTCAAGCCCTCACAGCTCCAAGGAGGCGGCCCCGTGAAGCCCTCTGCACCTCCCGCCTAGGGTGGGCTCTCTCCTGACAGGACTCGGCCCTTTAGGTGCTGGGCGCATCGCAGTTAGTCCTCTGGGTTCTGTGACGTCCATGCTGGTTTTTCTGTTGTTCGTTTTTTCTTCTAAGACAAAATGGCTCAGAGTATAGAAACTTACTCATGTTACAAAGCCGGTGGCACCGAAGGGAGAATGCTGCCCAAGAGCCGGGTCTTTGGAGAGGACCCTGGCCGGGGGAGGGAGGCAGAGGGCGGTGTCCACACGAGGATATCCGCTGTTGATGTTGGTGAACCAAGGCTGCTGTCCAGCGTCTTTGCAGGTGCTGGGGTCTGGGCATGGCTCCCTCTTTTTTTTTTTTTTTTTTTTTTTTTTTTTAAGATTTATTTATTTGAAAGTCAGAGTTACACAGAGAAGGAGAGGCAGAGAGAGCGAGAGACAGAGAGAGGTCTTCCATCCGCTGGTTCACTCCCCAGTTGGCCACAATGGCCAGAGCTGCACCGATCTGAAGCCAGGAGCCAGGAGCTTCTTCCAGGTCTCCCACGAGAGTGTAGGAGCCCAGGGCCTTGGGCCATCTTCTACTGCTTTTCCAGGCGTATTAGCAGGGAGCTGGATTGGAAATTGAGCAACTGGGACTCGAACTGGCACCCATAGAGGATGCTGGCACTGCAGGAAGTGGCTCCACCACAGCACTGGCCCTGGCTCCCTCGTTTTAAAACCCGGATCTCACCTGCTTGCCACACAACCAGTCTCGAATTTTCCCGTCAGTGAGATAATGGTGTGAAGAGAACCTTAAAAGAACTGTGTGTGTCTGTGAGATGTGGCTATGTAGCAGGATTTGCTTACTGAGACAGGGCACCAAGGCCTCTTAATCTGAAGTCTTTTATTATGCTGGCATGAGACCCAGATGGAGTTTCTTATCTAAAATACTGAAATTCTGAACCAAGAAGTGTTTTCCCTTATATGTGGTGTTAGCCTCTTTGTCTCCCTTGTATGGTTACCTGCATATGTTTGATTGGATATTCTAATGTTAAAACAGTTGAAGTATTAGCAGGCAAACAGATGACAGCTACATTTCATTCCCAGGACAGATTCCTCTCTTGCTTTCTTCTGACCGTGGGAAGGCCTCTACCACAACTTTAATCATGTCAGTTAGAAACAAGTTTCTTAAAAGACAAAGGCCTCTTTCATAGCTGCACCCAGCAGTTGAAGGGGTGACACGCTGTGTGTGGCCTCAGTGGACGGACGAAGTCTATAAAGACCTGCCCACAGGCTTCTTGGGACTCAGGTCCTTGTCCCCTGTGTCCAGCTTGAGGTGTTCAAAAGTTGGTGGCAGGGACCTTGGCATTTGTGGGTACAAAATTTAAGAACAGGATTCTGGCGTGCATTTCAGGGAATAAGAAACCGAAAAAGCAGCTCTTGATGAATAAAATTGACTTAAGAACTGAATTTTTGTCTTTGGGGATGAGAACTAATATTTTGTGCCTGAAGTTTATTTATCATTTATGTAGATTGGATAGGTTTTGCTTCTGGCTTTTAGTTTATTGGCATTTTGCAATGAAGGCTACATTGTATTAGTAGATGTGTTTTCTGATGAAACTGCGGGTCTTAAATTGCATTAAGGCAGTTTCAAGAGCAAAATACTAACCCTTGATACATTTTGTTATCTATCAATCTGAAATATTTGTACCTTGAGAAAGAAAAAAGTCATACATCAGAAAAGTAGGCCTCTGGTTTTTTTTGCCTGAAGGGACTCTTGGGAACCAGGAAGGGTGCAGGCAGAGCTTAGCTGAGACTGCATTTCCGGTTCCAGGTGTAAGCTGAAGGTCACGTCCTGTTTGTCTGATCCTTTACAGCTAGAGATTATTTTCTTTGCTGAGGAAAAGCATTACATGCCATTTTAGCCAACTCTCCTTAAAAAATGGAAAGCCATGGCCGGCGCCACAGCTCACTAGGCTAATCCTCCGCCTTGCGGCACCGGCACACCGGGTTCTAGTCCCGGTCGGGGCTCTGGATTCTGTCCCGGTTGCCCCTCTTCCAGGCCAGTTCTCTGCTGTGGCCAGGGAGTGCAGTGGAGGATGGCCCAAGTGCTTGGGCCCTGAACCCGCATGGGAGACCAGGGGAAGCACCTGGCTCCTGCCATCGGATTAGTGTGGTGCGCCGGCCGCAGCGCGCCAGCCGTGGCGGCCATTGGAGGGTGAACCAACGGCAAAGGAAGACGTTTCTCTCTGTCTCTCTCTCTCACTGTCCACTCTGCCTGTCAAAAAAGAAGAAAAAGATCGCGGAAAACCATTTACTGAACCAGTGTAATCTATGGAATCATGTGGAGCTTCAGATGGTATCCAAATATCATTTAACATTTCAAAGCCAAAATCAACTTCTATGTTGTTTTCAATATGAAATAACAAGATTTGTGCACCCCCTTACACAAGACTGGACAACCATGTTCAAAACACTTGGGATGTGCCTGGTATTAGCAAATGATAGCCAGATATGAGTATATTCTTTTGTACATACATATTACAAAGTAAGCTTTTTAGAAACCACATTGTGAGACATGTTCAGTGCTCAATGAATATGTGTTTTATTAAGCAATGATTCATAGTCACGAAGAAAACACTCCTGAATCAGTGACTCCTATCATGTTAAGACTTAGATAGCTGGATTGACTGTTTTATTCTCCTTGCCTATCTTTTCAGGTTTATATACTGACCCGAGATTTGTGTTAATTCTTATCATTATTGGCTTTTAGAAAATTATACTATTTTTGGTATTAGTAGTTTATCTTAAAAAAAATTTTAATTAAAATTGTTAACCATAAAATTGTGCATATTTATGAGGTACTATGTAATGTTTTGTTACATGTATATATTGTATAATACCCAGTCATTATAAATATATTTATCCTTTTTAGCATTTAACATTTCTTTGTAGTGAAAACATTCAAAATAATCTTTTTTTTTTTTTTCAAATCGAGAAATGCACATGATCAATAGTCACAGCCCCAGAACGTCTTACTCCCAGATAGCTATAATCTAGTACCCATCAATGAACCTTTCCCCGCTTCTCCCTGCTTCACTGCCCAGCCTCTGGTAACCACCATTGTATTTTTAAGTTCAATGAGTCTTTTGTTTTTTAGACTCCACATATGAATGAGGTCATGTGATACTTGTCTTTCTATGGTCGGCTTGTTTTATTTAATGACTGCTGATTCTATCCAGGTTGCTGCAAATGACAAGAGTTCATCTTTTTATGACTGAGTAATAATCCATTGTGTCTGTATGCCATATTTTGTTTAGCCTTTCATCAGTGGATGGATACTTAGGTTATTTTCCATTTCTCGGCTATTGTGAACAACGCTGCAACAAACGTGGGAGTGCAGGTATTTCCTTGATATATTGATTTAATTTATTTTGTTTTTATGTACCCCAAAATGGGATAGCTGGGTCATGTAGTAAATCTATTTTTAGGTTTCTTGAGGAACCTCAATGTTATTTTCCACAGTGGCTATACTAGTTTACATTCCCACCAACAGTGTACACATATTCACTTTCTCCAGTTCCTTGCAAACACCTGTTATCTTTTGTCTTTTTAATAATAGGAAATCTTACTAGAATGCATATTTAATTGTGGATTTGATTTACAGTTACCTAATGATTGGTGATGTTGAGTGCTTTTATTTTTTCATGTACTTTTTGGCCATTTATAGATCTTGATTTAGGGAAATGTCTGTTTTAATGTCAATTTTTAAATAGGATTTTTTTTTTTGCTATTGAGTTCCTTTTATGTTTGAATATTAACCCTTTGTTGGATATATAGCTTGCAGATACTTTTTTCCATTCTGTAGATTGTCTCTTCACTTTATTGTTTCTTTTGCTGTCTAAAAATTCTTTAGTTTGAAGAAATCCCATTTGTCTATTTTTGCATTTGTCTATTTTCCCTTTTCTCTAGTACTACTTTGGCTATATCCCATAGGTTTTGGTATGTTTCCATTTTTGTTCCTTTCAAGCAATTTAAAAATTTCCTCCTTGATTTCTTCCTTGATCTATTGATTGTTCAAGAGTAATTGTTTAATTTCCATGTAACTGTATGGTTTCCAAAGTTTTTCTTACTATTGATTTTTTTAAAAAATTATTTATTTGAAAGAGTTACAGAAAGAGAGAGAGAGAAAATCTTCCATCTTGGTTCACTCCCCAAATGGCCACAACAGCCAGAGCTGGGCCAATCTAAACCCAGGACTCCCACGTGGGTACAGGGGCCCAAGCACTTGGGGCCATCTTCCACTGCTTTCCCAGGCCGTAGAATAGAGAACTGGATTGGAAGAGGAGCAGCTAGGATACAAACAGGCACCCATATGGGATGCTGGTATTGCATACATAGACTTAGCCCACTAAGCCACAGTGATGGCCCCTGTTTTTGATGTCTAGTTTATTGCATTTTTTCAGAAAAGATACTGACATGATTTTTGTTCCTTTTAATTTGTTGGACTTTTTTGGTGACCTGTCACATAATCTATTCTGGAAAATGTTCTATGTGACATTGAGAAGACTGTATTTTGCAACATTAGATGAAAAGACCTGAAGATGTCTGTTAGGTCCAGTTGATCTAGTGTGTGATTTAACTCTGCTTTTTTTTTTTTTTTTTTTTGACAGGCAGAGTGGACAGTGAGAAAGAGAGAGACAAAGAGAAAGTTCTTCCTTTGCCGTTGGTTCACCCTCCAATGGCCGCCGCGGCCAGCGTGCTGCGGCCGGCGCACCACGCTGATCCGATGGCAGGAGTCAGGTGCTTCTCCTGGTCTCCCGTGGGGTTCAGGGCCCAAGCACTTGGGCCATCCTCCACTGCACTCCCTGGCCACAGCAGAGAGCTGGCCTGGAAGAGGGGCAACCGGGACAGAATCTGGAGCCCCGACCGGGACTAGAACCCGGTGTGCCGGTGCCGCAAGGTGGAGGATTAGCCTAGTGAGCCGCGGCGCCAGCCCAACTCTGCTGTTTATTTGCTGATTTTGTCTAGATGATATGTCCATTTCTGAGAGTAGGGTGATAAAGTTCCCCACTATTATTGTGTTGGAGTCTATCTCTCTCTTTAGGTCTATTAATATTTGCTTTATGTATGTATGTGCCTAATATTGATTGCATATATATTTATGTTATTTCCTCCTTCTGGGTTGATAATGAGTTTCATGGGCTCTTTTGCTACTTTTGATTTAAAATCTATTTTTTCCTGTTAGAAATATCGCTAACCTTTCTCTCTCTCTCTTTCTTTCTTTTTAGTCTGTTAAGCTTTTAAATTTACTCTTTTTAAAAATCAATTTATAATTTAAGAATAGTTTAGATTTACTTAACAAAAATTGTGAAGTGGTACAAAGAGTTCCTACACACCCCACACCCATCTTCCCCTATGCTTAACTTCTTATATTAGTATGAAGGATTTATCACATTCCATAAAACACATCCAGCTTCCCCATTAACATCACATAATAGTATATTTGTCACAATTAATTAACCAGCCCCCATTTCCCTATTTTTTAATTCAAATTCCCTCTATTCCATCTGCCCTTCCTAGCCTCTAGTAATTGATGTTCTATGTTCAGATTGAGTTTTTTTTTAGCTTCCACATATGAAGGAGAACGTACAGTATTTGTCTTTCTGTGTAACTTATTTCAGTTAACATGATGTCCTCCAGTTCCATCAATTTTGCTGCTAATGACAGGATTACATTCTATAATATGATTGTCAGTATTGTACAGTGTATATTTTCTTTTTACATTCATCTGATGATGGACACCTTGGTTGATTCCCTTTCTTGGCTATTGTGAACAGAACAGTGTGGCAATAAACCTAGTGCACCAGGTATCTGTTTGATAAAATGATTTCATATCTTTAATACATGCTCAGTAAGGAAATTACTGGCAATATGGCAGTTCAATTTCTATATTTAAAGAAATCCTCATACTGTTCTCTATAGTGGCTATACTTACCTAAATTCTACCGCTACTGTATAAGCATTTCTCTTTCTCTGTATCCTCACCAGTACTTATTATTATTATTTTTTTTTTTGGACAGGCAGAGTAGACAGTGAGAGAGAGAGAGACAAAGAGAAAGCTCTTCCTTTGCCGTTGGTTCACCCTCCAATACCACGGCTGGCGCGCTGTGGCCGGCGCACCACGCTGATCCGATATCAGGAGCCAGGTACTTATCCTGGTCTCCCATGGGGTGCAGAGCCCAAGCACTTGGGCCATCCTCCACTGCACTCCCTGGCCACAGCAGAGAGCTGGCCTGGAAGAGGGGCAACTGGGACAGAATCCGGCGCCCCAACCAGGACTAGAACCCGGTATGCCGGCGCCGCAAGGCGGAGGATTAGCCTAGTGAGCTGCGGCGCTGGCCACCAGTACTTATTACTTTTTGTCTTTGTCTTTTTGATAACAGCTATTCTAACAGGGATGAGATAATATCACATTGTTGTTTTGATTTGCATTTCCCTGATGGCTAATATTATTGAACTTTTTTTCATATATGTGTTGGCTATTGTATTTCTTCTTTTGAGAACTGTCTGTTCAGGTCTTTTGCCCATTTATTAACTGGATTGTTTCTTTTATTATTGAGTTTTTTGAGTTTCTGATATATTAATATTTTGTAAGATAAGTAGCTTGCAAGTACATTCTGCCATTTTGTTGGAAGTCTCTTCAATGTATTGATGTTTCCTTTGCTGTGCAGAAACTTTTTTGCATTCCATTTGCATAGAATATCTTGTTCCATCCTTTCACTTCCAGTCTATATGTATCCTTAGAGGTGAAATGAGTTTCTTGCATGTAGTTTTTCATTAGGTCCTTTTTTCAATACATTCAAGCATTCTGTGTCTTTTAATTAACAAATGTCATCCATTAGCAAGTAAGGCAATTATTAATAGGTAAGGTCTTATTATTATGATACCTATTTTGTTTTCTATTTTTATTGTAGTTTAGTTTCTATCTTTCTGCCTCTTTTGCAATTTTCATTTATGAATAAGTGATTTTTCTCTGGTGTTCTATTTTGATCCCTTGCCTCTTATTTTTGGTAAGTTCTCCTTTTAATTTTGTCTTTGCTCCATTTGGCATTGAATACCATGATACAAGGATCCAAGTTTTAAAAATTTTTAGCCAATGATATGTTCCAACAATATTTTAAAATTAATCTTTCCTGATTGCTATGTTATTCTTCTCATATATCAAGTTTCCATGTGTGTAAGTCTGATTTTGAACTGTCTGTTCTGTTCTATTTATGTTTGTCTGATGTCCACAAATGTCTTAATCTATAGATCTTTATAGGAACTTTTTGCATCTGATAGGACAGGCTCTTTATCGTCTCATTTTCTTCCTTCAGAGTGTCCAAACTGTCTGTGGATTTTTAAAGTGAACAATTCAGTGGTACATTCACAGTGTTGTGCATTGTCATTACTCCCCAAGGAAGCCTTCTATCCATTAAGCAGTTGTACTCCATTCCTCTTTGCCCCCTGCTACCTGGTAGCAGTAATTTGTGTTCTGTATGTGCAGATTTTATTCCTCTGGATATATCATTTCAATGGAGTTATACAATGTGACTTTTTGTACTTGGCTTCTTTTGCTTGGCATGCTTTCAAAGTTTACATGTTTTAGCAGGTGTCAGGACTTCAGTACTTTTATGGATGAATTCTATTCCATTGTAAGTGTATACCACAATTTGTTTATCCATTATGTTCATGGATATTTGGACTGTTTCTACCTTTTGTCTATTGTGAATAATGCTGTATGAATGTATGTACCTATCTTTGAGTGTACCTGTTAGTTTTCTTTTGGGAATTGAAAGGAGTAAAAACACTGCATTTTCATTTCTATTTTAGGTATTTGCAGCTTCTCTATTTCTTTTTATGTGTGTGATTCTAATTCCTGTATTTCTTTCTGAGTCTAATTGAAGTTTGTCTGTCGCATTGATTCTTTTCTAAGAAAGAAACAACTTCTGTTTTTATCCATTGTTTTTCTAGTCTCTTTCATTTATCTCTGCTCTATTCTCTCTTTTTTTTTTTTGACAGGCAGAGTGGACAGTGAGAGAGAGAGAGACAGAGAGAAAGGTCTTCCTTTTTGCCGTTGGTTCACCCTCCAATGGCCGCCGCGGCCGGCGCGCTGCGGCCGGCGCGCCGCGGCCGGCGCACCGCGCTGATCCGATGGCAGGAGCCAGGAGCCAGGTGCTTTTCCTGGTCTCCCATGGGGTGCAGGGCCCAAGCACCTGGGCCATCCTCCACTGCACTCCCTGGCCACAGCAGAGAGCTGGCCTGGAAGAGGGGCAACCGGGACAGAATCCGGCGCCCCAACCGGGACTAGAACCCGGTGTGCCGGCGCCGCTAGGCAGAGGATTAACCTAGTGAGCCGCG